AATTAATTTAGTGCCAAAATAGATAGGTCAAATTTCTTGATTGAATCATCAAAAAGAATTTATTTAGTTAACTACACTGACCGAATAAAAATGGAAAAAAAATCTCCATTTATTTCAACATTAAATATTAAGGAATAACATAAAATATTATTAATTCGGTCAAGAAAAATGATCGAAAGAAAACTTTGAACCGATGTGACATAAAGCAAGTGAGGGTTCTAATCTTGCATGAATTTCGATCAAATTTCTTAACCAAAATAAAAAGTTGCACAGTAACTTGAATAGTGGTGATCAACTTTTTTTTTTTTACTGTTTTAGTCAAAAATTTTGACCAAAACAGTGTTCTATAAGTGACTTGACTGGAGCTGGTGGCAATTCAAGCATGCTGGGACTAGTTCGGTCAGTCCTCATGATTGAAACATACATTGCTTTTTGCAGGATAGCTTTTCCCGCATGTTTTAGTTAGGTTCATTGATCGAAACAAGTATGAAAAATCTGTTTTGCAAGATTCCCCATTTCCCATCACATTTCGGGCAATGTTTTTGGACCCAGCCCAGCTCGACCCGGCTGGTTGAACCGATTGAATCGGACCCGAACCTGAAAACGGGTCGGTTGAAGACTTCAACCCGTTTAAGCAAATGACCCATTGAAACCCGTCACACCCATCCCGCCCGTTGAACTCGTGCGACCTGCTGCAACCGGTTGGGCTGAAATTTTCATCATCTTCTCGTTTGTTGATTATCCGCCAATTGTCCGCCGATCATCCGCCGACCGTCCACCCATTGTCTCTTCCACCGATCTTCTCGTCCGTTGATCTTCTTGTCCGTCGATGGTCCACCGATCTTCTCTTCTGCGATCGTTCGTCAATCTTTTCTACCGTCGATCTTCTTTTCCGTCGATCCTCTCCTCCGTCGCTGCACTTCTGCTCTTTCGCCAATCATCTTCATCTCCCTCATCTGTTCTGCTCAAAACAAAACAGATCGTTTTCGGGTGAAACCGTGAAGGTAAGGTATAAAAGCAAAATTCAATAAAAATGCTCAAAAAAAAAAGTTTTTTAGTTGACTTTAGTTGACCGGTTGAACCGATCAGATGAACCAGTTCAACCTGTTGACCAGGACCCGGTGGTCAAAACGGGCCAGCCACCGGGCCGAGTCCAAAAACATTGATTTCGGATATGTTGGTCCACTAGACTATAAGGTTTGCAACACATGAAATACGAAAGTAAGAGCTTTGGAGAAGAAAAGAGTATTAGTC